ATCCAGGAAGCTCAGAGAGTCCCAAAGAAATTGGACCCAAGAAGGAACATACCAAGGCACATCATAATTACATTAGCCAAGATTAAAATGAAGGAGAGAATCCTAGAAGCAGCAAGAGAGAAGGGGACCGTCACCTACAAAGGAGTTCCCATCAGACTGTCAGCTGATTTCTCAAAAGAGACCTTACAGACAAGAAGGGGCTGGAAAGAAGTATTCCAAGTCATGAAATCCAAAGACCTACATCCAAGATTGCTCTATCCAGCAAAGCTTCCATTTAGAATGGAAGGGCAGATAAAGTGCTTCTCGGATAAGATCAAGTTCAAGGAGTTCATCATCACCAAGCCCTTATTATATGAAATGTTAAAGGAACTTACCTAAGAAAAAGAAGATAAAAAAGATGAACAGTAAAAGGACAGCAAACTCACAGTATTAAGAACCACACCTAAAACAAAAGCAAACTAAGAGGACAGCTAGATCAGGAGCAGAACCATAGAAATGAAGATCACGTGGAGGGTTAGCAATAGGGGAGTGGGAGAAGGAGAAGGGGGGAGAAGGTACAGAAAATAAGTAGCATAGACTGTAGGTAGAAAATAGATGGGGGGGCAAGAATAGTATGGGAAATATAGAATCTAAAGAACTTGAGACACGTGGTCATAAACTAAAGGAGGGAATGGTGGGGAAGGGGTGTGCAGGGAGGAGGGGAATGAAAGGTGAAATAGAACAACTGTAATGGCATAATTAATAAAATATATTTAAATAAATAAATAAATAAATTTCAGATAGATGTTAGAACCAAGAAACATCTCAAAGTAGTGCTGAACATTTTGAAGGGGTATAAAATGACTTTCACATGAATTTTCAGTGTGAGTAAGTAGACGAACTCCTTTTTGAATTGTCAGGCTCTACCCCTGCCTGGAGTCAGAGACAGGGGTCTCCAAAGTACCTTCAGTTCTTAGTATATAATGACTCTAAATACCATTAGATCATCATTTGTGTATTTTTCCCCTGGTTATTTTGGAAATGCTTTCGAAGTAAAATAAGGACTAGTGGAAAGTAAAGATGTCTAACTTGAGTGTTGTTGTTCCAACTTGGGGGGTGAGGTTGTCAATGAATTCATGTGCTTCGAAAAGCTTGGATGATTTTTAAATGAGGTTCAAAAGCTAAAAATGCGATTAGGCCCTGGCTGGCGTAGCTCAATGGATTGAGGTCAGGCTTGTGAACCGGAGGATCACAGTTTGATTCCCAGTCAGGGCACATGCCTGGGTTGCAGGCCAGTTCCCAGCAGGGGACGCATGAGAGGCAACCGTACATTGATATTTCTCTCCTTTTCCTCTAAAGATAAATAAATAAAAAATACTTAAAAAATGGGATTAGGACCATAAAAGCCTTCACTCTTAACATTGTTTCTTTGCACTGATTTAGTGCATTTGTATATTAGAAATAGAGATCTGATTTGGATTGAGTCCTCTCGTCTGCAATAATATGGTCTGGAAAAAATTTCCCAGACATACAAACAGTATTAAATTTTGTAATGACGAAAGACCACTATGCTGTAGCTTTCCAGTGAAACGCTTGAATGAGAAAAATTAACACCAATTAATATATAGAAATGCTAGGGACTTTTCATACATCATTAAATTCAAATGTTATATGTTTATATATATGTTTATATTTCACTCTTAGATAAGTGAAAAGGTAGGACAAAATGTTAGCTGAGAAAGTAGATTATATAATATGTAACTGGAGACATTGAAGAAAACTGTGTTTTCATCTTTGTTTTTCAAAATATTGTAATAGAACCCAGATATAATGCAGATGTTGGGATAAATTGATATCTTAATCAGTTGGGACTGCTATGACAAACTCCTGCAGACTGGCTGACTTAAACATTTATTTCTCACAGTTCTGGAGGATAGAAAGTCTGAGTTCAAAGTGAATTATGTCTGATGAGAGAGAACTCCCTTCCTAGTTCATCTGCAGCCCCCTTGCTGTGTCCTCACTTGGTAGAGGGGGCAAGAGAGCTCTCTGGGGTTCCTCCTGTGGGCACACTACTTCCATTATCAGGGCTTCCCCTCATGACCTCATGACCTCATGACCTCATGACCTCCCAGAGGCATTACTTCCTAATACTGCCACATTGGGGAGTAGGTTTTCCATGTGTATTTGAGAAGGACACACACGTTCAGCCATTGCAGTTGAAGAAGAGATTTAAATACTCAGCTTTTTCTTTAGTTTTTAGACTGGCATAGTTAATTGGACTGAATGAGACAGGGTGGTCTGGTGGACAAGGCTTGAAATTTGAGTCCGAAGACTTAGGTTCTTTTTATATCTATTTTTTCTTGGTTTTGTCTCCTTAAACATGGTAACTTCTTTGGGCCTACATTATTTTCTTTATAAAATGTGAAAAATAATTAACTCAGTGGCTTGTTATAAGTATAAAATAAATATAAATGAAACTGATTCGAAACTGGGAAACTAGATATTACATTATTAATAATACTAGATTTTTATTTGTTCTTTTATTGACAAAGAACTCATCAAAGGAAATCTGTATTAGGTGATTAGAGGAAAAGTTTATAATTCCTAAAAATATAAAAGTTCTTTACAAATAATTTTCAGTTAGAATAAATATGGTGAATCTGAAGTAAGTTATGGTCCTCTAACAGATTAGTTATAGTAGTTTCTCACTGTGGTTACTTAAAGATCTTACTATAGCCCTAGCAGGTGTGCCTCAGTTAGTTGGAACATTGTGCCATAAATCAACAGGTCTCATGTTCAATTCCCACATACATACCTAGGTTGCAGGTTCTGTCCCTGGTCAAGGCACATAAAGAGGGCAACCAGACTCTCTCTCTCCCTCTCTCCCCCCCCTCCATCTCTCCTTCCCTCTCTCTCTTCATCTCTCCCTAAAATGCAATGAAAAACATGTTCTCAGGTGAGGATAAAATAAATAAATAAAAATAAAAATATTAATATAATTTGAGATTTGTGTCTCTGCTTTCATAAAAATACTGTGTTTAAAATAGAAAGTATATTTGCGATGCATAAAAACTATATTGTATGCCAGAAGTATCATCATGGCTAAATCACATTCTGGAATTATGCAGTAATTTCTTTTCTGGCACATCAGAGATGCAATGGAAGAATATATATGTTAAAATGTTCCACACATCAGATGTCTTTATCATGCTTGTTGCACATATATGCAGTTGTGTATTATATGTTATAAGCCTTTGAAAAATAAATTGTGAATGAGAAACTCATGCTCTTGTGGTGCTACATATGAGTTGGTATAAAGCTAGGTTGTCATGCACACTAACTGTGCTCTCTGGCCTGCAAAGTAATTTAATAGTGGTAAGTAATTATTAAGGAGGCTTTACATGTAAATTAATAAATCCAAAGTAAATTTCAGACATGTCCAATTTTTTAATCTTTGAAAAATAACAAGATTATAAGATTATTGCTAAAGATATCTGAAATACAATTTGGGTCAGTACTCTGAGCTATATTTAAGTACTTAATAAACAAAAACAGGATCATATGATCAGGGCAAATGTAAAATATGTAATAACCTTCCCAGCAAACTTTCAGCAATTACATGAGCACTAAAATATTTTCACACTGAACTTAAAAATTGTTTGTGTTAGAATGTTGTCACATTTCAAACTAATACACAAGGTTTTTCCAGAAGATATCCACCCATGTAATATGAAAACATAGACATATTTATTGAAGAAGACACAAGAAACATTGTACATAGGACAATGATGCCTCAGTCCCTTTCAAAGTAGGCACCTTGGGGCCTCACACAATTCTCCCAGTTGCCATCAACTGCCGCATTGTATTTTTCTGAATCTCATTGATGGTCTGAAATCACTTCCCTTTCAAAGATGATTTTAGTTTGGGGAAAAGCTAGAAGTCACAGGACACTAAATCTGAGCTGTAGCAGGACTGAGTCACCTGGGTGATTTGATGTTTCACAAAAAATGTCTGCACAAGACATGATGCATGAGTGGTCATGTTGTCATGATGAAGTTGCCAATCACCAGTTGCCCGTAGCTGTAGCCTTCTGAATCATCAGAATAGTTTTTGCTGAAGAATGTCCAAACTTAATGCAAAATTTGATGCAGATTTGTTGCTCTACTCACTCAGTCCTTTTCAATGTGATGGCCACACAGTACACATGCTCACTCAACATCGTCGACTTCCCCCACTGACCAGTACAGTGAAGTCACCATTGTTCACACATGCGCATTCCAGTCCACTCTCCTTGGCTGCCAGGTTACATGGATGTGGTACAAACCATTCTCTTTATATTAACAATGGCTGGACATTTTCTGGACATATCTCTTACATGAAGTATAAACTATTGCAAATAATTGTGTGAATGCTAAAATTGGCTTTTATTTACCTCAAAGGTAAAAGTAATGAACTTAAAAGGGTAGCTGCATTTAATAATATCATAATTTCAGAGAATTTAAGCCATGTTTCTAAGCTGTGTCTTAAGTTATATGCTTGTGACTGTTTCTAATTAAATCAGCAGGTTAAATTTTAAGAGCTCTGAGTCTCCTTATTTGGATAGATGTGTGGTTTTAAATTTGGTGCAGAAATTACAGGGTTCAATAGGACATCTGATAAATAAGTAAGACCAACTGTGTATGAAGACTGAGTGAGAGAAATTAAGATTTGTAGACTGCTTGGGAAAAGCTAAGTGTTCATCTAAGTGTGTGGATATGGGATTTTAAAATCTGTTACATCTAAATTTCCGTAGAAATTTTTCTGTAACTTAAGGGAGTTCAGAGAGTGAGTGTGATTTGATATGTAATTGGGATCCTGTATATATAGCTTTACTAAGATATGCCTCAGAGTGAACAGTAAACTGACTGATGAAATTTATTTCTCATATTATGTCTTATGATGGAGAAGGTCTCTGAATACAGTATCTCCAGTTTTTTTTTAAGTAACTGCAGCTATTTCAGGATATCTATGCTTTCTCATAGAATGAAGACAAATACAGAGATGGTGTGTCTAAGAAATTTTAAAAGGTGTAGGCCTCCTGATTGAAGCATTGTTGAATTACTGGAATCATTTTTATTGACGTAAGTATAAGTATTTTAAGCACATTATTTTGGTCAGTATTGACTTATGTTCTTTGTTGAATAAATATTCATTCTCTGTTAAATACCTTTATCATTGTTAGCACTGTTTGAGCTTATATTCTTTTGCAACTTCAGTTGCATATCTTGAATTAATTTAACTCAGGACCCTTGAGAGAACAAATAAACCCATGACCCAAGAGCTAGAAGAGCCCTTAGAGATGCTCTGGTTCATGCCCTTTATCCATTACAAGAAATTCGTTTGCAGTGTCCTTGACAAATGATCGTATTATTCACGTAGACCTTGGTGGGGAGAAGGGGTTGAACTCTTTCACAGACTTGCCATTCCAATGGATGTTCCACTACAAATTGAATCAAAATATGACTTTCTGAAATGTCACCCACCAGAGCATTTTGCCATATCGTTTCCCTACTCATTTTTGTTGTTTATTTTTTCAGTTACAGTTTCCATTCAATATTATTTTAGTGTGCAGCATAGTAGTTAGACAGTCATATACTTTACAAAGTGTTCCCTCTGATATTTCCAGTTCCCACCTCTCATACTTAGTTATTGTAATATTATTGACTATTCCCTATGCTGAACTTTACATCCCCATGACTGCTTTGTAACTACCACTTTGTACTTCTCAGTCCCTTCACCGTTTTTACCCCTTCCCTCAAACCCCCTCCATCTGACAGCCATCAGTCTGTTCTCTGTATCTATAAGCCTCCTTCAGTTTTATTTGTTTTGGTCTGTAGATTCCACATGTAAGTGAAATCGTATGGTGTTTGTCTTTCTCTGACTCATTTATTTCACTTAGCATAATACCTTCTAGATCCATTCATGCTGTTGCAAATGGTAAGAGTTTATTCCTTTTTGTGACTAATAGTTCATTGTATATGTGTACCACTGCATTTTTTATCTGCATGTCTATAGATGGGCACTTGAGTATCTTTTCATATGTTAATTAGCCATCTGTGTGTCCTCTTTGGAGAAGTGTCTATTTAGGTCCTCTGCCCATTTTTAAATTGGATTGTTTGTTTTTCTAGCATCGAGTTGTATGAGTTCTATAAAATTTTGGATATTAACCCCTTATCAGATGTATCTGTGCTACATATCTTCATCCATTCAGTATGTTGTCTTTTTGTTTCATTGATCATTTTCTTTGCTGTGCAAAACTTTTTAGTTGGATATAGTCCCATATTGTGTGGAGAAATGTCAAAGATATTTTAAAATATTTATTTATATATATATTTTAGAGTGAGAAAGAGAAGCATTGACTTGTTGTTTCACCCATTCATGCATTCATTGGTTGAGTCTTGTATGTGCCCTGACTGGGGATTGAACACACAACCCTGGCGCATCAGAACGATGCTCCAAACAACAGAGCTGCTCTGCCAGGGCAAAATGTCAGAAAATTTACTGTGTTTTCTTCTAGGAGTTTTATGGTTTTGAGTCTTACATTTAAGTTTTTACATTCTATATTCTATCTTTGTCTTTTACTTTAGCCATTTTAATTATGATATCTTGGTGTGGGCTGCTTTGGGTGAATCTTGTTTGGAACACGCCACAGCTTCTATGCTTGTACATCTTCTTCCTTCACCGGGTTAGGGAAGTTTTCAGTGATTATTCCTCAAATAGGTTCTCATCCCTAGCTCACTATCTTCTCCTTATGGTACCCCTATGATTAGAACATGGTTACTCTTCGTGTCCCAGATTTCCTTTAAACGATCCTTTCTTTTAACCCTCACCTGGAGATGTGTTTTCATTCATTTTAAAGAGAGAGGGAAGGGGAGTAGGGGGAGTGAGAGAAACATCCACTGGTTGCCTTTCCCACGTCCCAACCAGGGATCAAACCCGCAGCCTAGACCTGTGCCCCATCTGGGAATCAAACCGGCAGACTTTTGGTGCATGGGATGACGCTCCAAGGAACTGAGCCACATGGCCAGGTCTAAACTAGTCTCATTTTTTTTCAATTCTTTTTTTTTTTTGCTTCTCTGATTAGATGGTTTCTGATACTTTGTCTTTCAAATCACTATCTCTGTCCTCTGCTTCAGCCAATCTGCTGTTGATTTGTCCTAGTGTATTTTTTCATTTCAGCTATTGTATTCTTCATCTCTGGTTGGATTGCTACAGAGACAGGGAAGGGCTTCCTCCAGGAAAGGAATTCCTCCTGATTTCCAAACCAGTGAAAGGTGACGGAGTGTGAGGAATCTAAAAATGGAATATTGTAGCAACTAAAAACAAGACTCAAGAAAGTTGTCCCTGCAAAAAAAAATAAACCCCAGACCACCCGCTTACAAGCTAACTTGGAAGCTAGATCATCCTACTAAACAAATACATGTCCTCTTCTCAAGTGCATTTTGCAGAAAATTGTCATTATACTTTTGGCAAAATTTTTCTTATAAAGCAGTGTCTCTAGGAGGGATGATCATTAAGTTGAGAATTTACTATATACATTCCTAAAACTAAGTTCCTCCTGAAATGGCCAAGGTGGAGCCACGTGACCCCAACACTGGAAGAAGATGGGTCAAGGTATTCCCAATGTGCAGGCTTGCTTACGATTACCCTCACTTGAGATAGAATTAGCCTCGAGTAACTATCAGCAGCATTTCAGAGCTCTCTCTCAATTTTCTCAGTTTTTTTTCCTTCCTCCCTTTCCTCTCTTCATCTTCTATTCCGGCTGCACTTGTCTGCTTCTGCATAGTGCAATAGAAGGTGTGGAGATGGTCTTAGGGGTCTCGGGCAACAGAAAGCTGGCTATCAACTGGATGCCTCTGGCAAGTAACCACTAATTGCCTTGGTGTCCTCACCAATAAAATGGAGACCTCTATTTCTTAAGGCAGCTGTAAAACTAAACAAGCTGATTGAACACAATGAATGGAATACAGTAGGTGCTCAATAAGTTCTTGTTTTCCTCTTTATCATTCTTTTTTCTGTGCTGACTTCCCTGCATTCCTCTTTCCAGTGTCCAAAGATCCAGCGAACAAATGATCATTGCTCTAGGATTATATCATAGCATACCTCTGAAGTCGGCTTTATTTGGGGCAAAGCCATAGAAAAAACAACCAGCATAAACTATTGGTTCTCTGTCATTGGTTATCTATTAGACAGTCGTCTAATTAGCAGTCCTTGAGACCAACTTCATAGTGATAGCAAAGCCACTTTTGTATTTGAATACCAAATTCAGAAAATGGCCTTTACATTTTTAAATCTAAAATAGTCTGACCTTAACTGTTAATTGGGTAACATATCATGATTTAGACACCTGCTGAAATAACTTACTACTGAGATTTGGAGTATGAACCTGGTAATCACACCCTCTTAAGTTATCCATCATACTCATTAAAATTAACTGTAAAGTCAACTACATGTTGGTTGCATATAAATTTCTCATTCAGCTAAGATGCTTACGTATCTAAATATTACCACAGCTGTGTATACAACAGTTTTGTTAGAAGAACATACATTATAAGTTTTATTTGATTTTATTGAGGAAAAAGCCAAAGCATTTTTACAATAATATATCGGTGAAATGCAAAATCATATACCAGTCTAAGAGCTTTGTGGATCTGAAGTATTTTTGGAGAAATGTGTTAAATTTTAGGTATTTCCTAATTTTTTATGTGTTTTATTTTATTTATTAGACATATGTCACTCCTGTTCCTTTTTCTTTCTTTTTATTGAATTTATGGGGTTGACACTGGTTAACAAATTTATACAGGTTTCAGGTGCACAATTCCACAACACGTCATCTGTGCACTGTACTGTGTGTTCAACTCCCCAAGTCGAGTCTCCTTCCGTCACCATTTATCCCCCCTGTACCCTCCTCCACCTTCCCCACCCCCTTCCCCACAGCAGTCACCACAGTGTTGTCTGTGTCCGTGAGATTTTTCTTTTTTTCTCAATCCCTCCACCTCCTCACCCAGCCTTCCATCCCACCTTCCTTAAAAGCTGTTAGCCTGCTCCCTCTTAGTCTGTCTCTGTATTTTCCTTGTTAGTTCATGTTACTCATTAGATTCCACATCAAGTTCACTTATCTTCCTCTGACCTGGAGAGCATTATGCTAAGTGAAATAAGCCTAATCGGTTCTTTTTTATGGTTTTTATGTTTACCATCTTTGTTGAGGATCTCACTGAGTTCATCTATTTTCCCCTAAGTTTCTTGAGCATCCTTATAACCATTGTTTTAAACTATGTAGGTGGTAGATTGCTTACCTCCATTTCATTTAGTTCTTCTCCTGGGGATTTCCCCCGTTATTTCATTTGGAACATGTTTCTTTGCCTCCCCATTCTGGCTGCCTCTCAGTATTTGTTTCTGTGTACCAGGTACGCCTGCTGTGCCTCCCAGTCCTGGTGTGGTGATGTCATGTAGTAGGCGTCCAGTGGGGCTTCGTGGATCAGTTTCCCTATTACCTGACCTACATGCTTCAGCAATGTCTCTTGGGTGGCTTATGTGAGCCTTCCTGCTGCAGTTGAGTCTGGAGTACTATTGGCCTCTCTTGATGGTACTGACTCTCAGACTCTCTGACTATGAGGATTGACCTTGACCATAGTGTATAAGTTGGTCTACTGGGGCTTAACCCCACAAAACGAAATTTACCCCAGAAGGTTCTGGTACCTGCTGACATCCCCCTTTGGTTGTGCCACTTATGGAATAATGTGGTCATTCTCTGATGTGGCCTGAAGCCTGTCCGTGTTGGTTCTGAGACTTCCTCGGGAGAGACGCGAGTGCAGGTCAATGTCAGGTATGCCTGTGACCGGCCCTGAGTTACCTGGTTGGAACTATAAAGTGATCTGCATTTTGTGGCTGCTTCTGCTTGGCCTGGGTACCCGTGGCAGGGGCTAAGCTGTGTAGCAAGCCTAGCTTCTACCAGCACCAATCCTGGGGGCAGATCAGAAAAAGGCCTAGGCACCCAAGACACCTCTGCCTGCCAGCTACCTGTTGGGCTCAGTCACTGAAAATGTCTCCAGCAGTATGTGAGTTGTCAGGTAGGTTCTTAGTGTCACCAGGTAGGGGTGAGTAGTCTTTACCAGGTTGCTACAGATTTAAACTCCAGGTGCTGGGCCTGAGTCTGCTTAGCAAAAGTGTCAGTGTATACCAAGGCCAGCTGCCACCTGCCACCTGCCTTCGGCCTAAGGTCAGGGGACCCATGTAGTGGGCAGGGTCTCAGGGAGTCACCAAGGTGAAGCTGCACAGTTCATCAGGTGAAAACATACCAAGATGTAGGGATGTGGAAGGAGGTCTCTGCACAGGAAGAGTGGTGGCTCTTGTTGTGTGTATGAGGGAAAAATGGCCCTTGCCCTAGCTAGAGACCTTCCCTGTCATCTCTTCCACCACCACCACCACCACCCCCACCACCCGCCCCCCTCCCCGAGTGTGCTTGGATCACCTCGAGAGCCGCCCGACAAACAGCACTGCTGGCCCAGGCTGGCCACAGGGAGTCAGGCAGTGGGGCCAGTGCGTTCCTCCAGGCTGGTGTGGTGCGGAGGGCAGTGCTCGGCCCAGGAAAGATGGTGTTGGAGAGGGACTCAACACGGGAACGTTGGCATCTGTCCCTTCAGCTCCCCTAAGGTACACAACCCAGTCTCTCCCTGAATGACTCCACTGCACTCTGATCCACCTTCCTTCCCCCAGAGCCCATGGTGAGTGGCCACAAATGAGACATGTTTTCTTTGGCCCTCTGAAACCATGCCTAGGTTTCCAGCAGACTCCCATCTCACCCTGGTGGTCAGAATCCCCGCTGCTTTTCACAGCCAAATGCTGTATGTATTTCTCTGCCTGGCTCTGGTGTCCCAGGCTGGGGAATCCCAGCCTGGGGTTGAAACCCTTGCTGCTAAGGAGGGGTCTTTGCAGCTGACATATCCCTCCCAGTTCTCAACTGCTGCATGTGGGTGCAAGGACAGCCCTTTCTGCGTCTCCTCCCTTCCTCCTAGGCTCGATGTGGCTTTTTCTGTAAATCCCTGGTTATAAGACTTCCATCCAGCTAGTTTTCAGTTAGCTATTCAGGTTGATTGTTCTATGTAATTTAGTTGTAATTCCCGTTTGGTCCTGTGAGGAGGTGACTAGTTTCTACCTACTGCACTGCCATCGTGGATTCACCTTCCCTAATCATTTTTAATCTCAGCTGAATATCATCAGTTACCTGTGCTTCTCTGTGGATAATGGTTTACAGGCCAGTAGCTCCTGATTTTTTGTTACCCACTTTACATTTAATCTGCGGGGTGTGATCTCACCAGCAGGGACAGAATGACTATTGTCCCTTTATCTGGGTTCACCTATTAATGTGGCCCCAGATTATACAATAGTAACGTTATAATTATAGTTAGCACTATTAGCTGAAAGTATATATTCGTGTCAACTAAAATCTCTAGGTATTTTTCACATGTTCATCCAGCATTGTTTTCTACCATCCTGACTGCCATCATGTTTATGGTATTTTAGGGTCTAAGTCGAGGACTTTTTATTTGTCTCATGTAGTCCTCTTGGTTTTGGTTTTTGTCTTGTCTTGACACACAATTATGGTTAGCTGCAGTTGGATGAGACAGAATGGGAGGAGCTGAGAGTTAGAAATAGACACGCTAAAGGAGGGAAAGGCTGGAGAGTTGTATAAGTAAGCAACAGGTCCTAAGAGGAGGTTGAATCCATATTATATAAAAAGATGTTCACCGAGGATGCAGGTACAAAGTGGTGCTCCAGTCCAGCAGTTAAAATCAGGGATCATGAGCATGATCCAACAAATGGGCGAGCGTGAAGGTATAAAGTTCAAGGTCAGATGATAAGAAAAATGTTGGAGCTGACCAGCAATAGAGAACACACTTATGAACAGGTAGCAGAGCCATCTGTAGTGGAATTCTGGGGTCTAAGGCAGGATGCCAGTCCCTAGAAGAGGGATGAATAACCTCAGAAAAGGCTTCCTTGGAGCACTACTAGTACTGGGATATCTAGAAGGAAAAACTCAGACCCAGGAAAGATCATTGAGACTTCACAGTCAAGAAAGTACAAGAGAAGCCCTTGAACATAAGTTAGAACTGGACCACCTGCAAAAGGTAACCATGGCGAGTGACTTTTTTCTTCTTTTTTTAAAAATTATTTTGTCATTGTTCAGATACGGTTGTCTGCATTTTCTTCTTTTTTCTTACCAAATATGTTATTAGATTGAAATGCTTCCTTTTATCTGCTTACTCTATGCCATCTTAAAGGTGGTCTGGATTTTACTAACGCTTCTTTAAACAATTTTTAAATTTTTATTATTTTTTAAATGTTTTATGTAATGTTTCTTTCTGAATGTTACATAAATCATTTATATAAGGAACATTGAATACTTTTAAATAGGAATATGCAAAATTTATTTTGCTTTTCTGAAGGCAAAATAATTTAATAATAGACTCTGCCCTTAATCAATTCTTCTATTAGTATTTTGCCATGACAACATCAAACATGAGTCTCCATAGTAAAATGTTGTTCTGGATTTTTATTCCCAATCCCTTTTTAAGCCATTACTGTTGTTTGTAAGCTCTTAAATCCTCTAAGTTGGACATAAACTTAAGTTATAAAGCAAGATTCTGGGGGAAAGGAGATGATAAATTATATTACATATTGTTTTGAAATTAGAACTGGCACATCCCTTGGGGTCATTTTACAGAGCAGTGCTTGCTGGGCAGAGGTTCCTTGTAGTGACTGCAGTGCAAGTCTTAGGCTACAACCAGTGCTCCAGGCGTGGGGGTGGGATGTGGGAAGAGCTTGTTGTGAAATGTAACTCGGAACAAGTAGCCTGATAACAAGTTTTCCCAGTGTCAGTTGAAGAAAATTTGGATTCTAGTTGTTAATAGCTTAGCCTGGAGTCAAAATCCAGGAGAAAACGAAAGAGTTGCTTCATGTCCTGCCCCAGTTGAGTTATTACCAAATGATATCCCATCTAAGCTACTTTTCAGTGCACATACAGTGCACATTTTCACATGAAACCTGGAGACGTCTATACTCCTTGATCAATCCTGCCTTCAAGGTTTTGCCCTTGAGCTAAATCCTACTTAGGTAGATTATGTACGAACAAGCATTAGAGTCAAGTGCTTATTTTGGATACTCTTACTTCAGTGGTTTTTCTTCTATTTTTCCCTTCCAGTTTCTGTACTCCTACAGGGGAAGTCATGATTACACTAACAGAGCTAAAATGTTTAGCAGACGCCCAGTCATCTTATCATATCCTAAAACCGTGGTGGGACGTCTTCTGGTATTACATCACCCTGGTCATGCTGCTGGTGGCCGTGCTGGCCGGAGCACTCCAGCTCACGCAAAGCAGGGTTCTGTGCTGTCTTCCGTGTAAGGTGGAATTCGACAATCACTGCACTGTGCCTTGGCACATCCTGAAAGCCAGTGTGAACACGTCCTCTGACCCTGGGACACCGCTTCCGCTCCCCCTCAGGATCCAAAACGACCTCCACCGACAGCAGTACTCCTACATCGACGCCGTCTGCTATGAAAAACAGCTCCACTGGTTCGCAAAGTTTTTTCCCTACCTGGTGCTCTTGCACACGCTGATCTTTGCAGCCTGCAGCAACTTCTGGCTTCACTACCCCAGCACCAGTTCCAGGCTTGAGCATTTTGTGGCCATCCTTCACAAATGCTTTGATTCCCCATGGACCACCCGCGCCCTGTCAGAGACCGTGGCTGAGCAGTCGGTGAGGCCCCTGACACTCTCCAAGTCCAAGGTTTTGCTTTCATCCTCAGGGTGTTCAGCTGATGTTGATGCCAATAAGCAGTCATTGCCCTACCCGCAGCCTGGCTTGGAGTCAGCTGGCATAGAAAGCCCAACTTCCAGTGTCCTGGACAAGAAGGAGGGCGAACAGGCCAAAGCCATCTTTGAAAAAGTGAAAAGGTTCCGTATGCACGTGGAGCAGAAAGATATCATTTACAGGATTTATCTGAAGCAGATAATAGTCAAGGTCATTTTGTTTGTCCTCATCATAACTTATGTTCCATATTTTTTAACCTATATCACCCTTGAAATTGACTGTTCCATTGATGTGCAGGCTTTTACAGGATATAAGCGGTACCAGTGTGTCTATTCCTTGGCAGAAATATTTAAGGTCCTGGCTTCGTTTTATGTCATTTTGGTTATCCTTTATGGCCTCACCTCCTCCTACAGCTTGTGGTGGATGCTGAGAAGCTCCCTGAAGCAATATTCCTTTGAGGCACTGAGAGAAAAAAGCAAATACAGTGACATACCTGACGTCAAGAATGACTTCGCTTTCATCCTCCATCTGGCTGATCAGTACGATCCTCTTTATTCCAAACGCTTCTCCATATTCCTGTCAGAGGTCAGCGAGAACAAACTGAAACAGATCAACCTCAATAACGAGTGGACAGTTGAGAAACTGAAAAGCAAGCTGGTGAAAAATTCCCAGGACAAGATAGAGCTGCATCTCTTCATGCTAAACGGTCTTCCAGACAATGTGTTCGAGCTAACCGAAATCGAAGTGCTCAGCCTGGAGCTGATTCCTGAGGTCAAGCTGCCCTCCTCAGTCTCACAGCTGGTCAACCTCAGGGAGCTTCATGTGTACCATTCGTCTCTGGTGGTCGACCACCCTGCCCTGGCCTTTCTAGAGGAGAATTTAAAAATTCTCCGCCTGAAATTTACTGAAATGGGGAAAATTCCACGCTGGGTATTTCACCTGAAGAATCTCAAGGAACTTTATCTGTCGGGTTGTGTCCTACCCGAGCAGCTGAGCACCATGCAGATGGAGGGCTTTCAGGACTTAAAAAACCTCAGGACCCTCTACTTGAAGAGCAGCCTGTCCCGGATCCCACAAGTCATTACAGACCTCCTGCCTTCCCTGCAGAAGCTGTCCCTCAATAACGAGGGAAGCAAACTGGTTGTATTGAACAACCTGAAAAAGATGGTCAATCTGAAAAGTTTAGAGCTGATCAGCTGTGACCTCGAACGCATTCCACACTCCATTTTCAGTCTGAACAATTTGCATGAGTTAGACCTAAAAGAAAATAACCTTAAAACTGTGGAAGAGGTCATTAGCTTTCAGCATCTCCAAAATCTTTCCTGCTTAAAACTGTGGCACAATAACATTGCTTATATTCCTGCCCAAATTGGGGCATTATCTAATCTGGAGCAGCTGTTTTTGGACCATAATAATATTGAGAATCTACCCCTGCAGCTTTTTCTATGCACCAAACTACATTATTTGGATCTAAGCTATAACCACCTGACCTTCATTCCAGAAGAAATCCAATATTTGAGTAATTTGCAGTACTTTGCTGTGACCAACAACAATGTAAGTAAATCCATTCTTCCCTTTATTCAGTCAGCCAGTCTTTTGAGTATCTGCTGTCGTGCTGTGTGATGTAGGTAAAGAAAATGTACTTCAAATCATGCTAAGCATCCTCTGAGAATGGTCTGACCGTCTGCCACTTAGTAGACAGACAACCATGGACAAATTACCAAAACACCAAGCAGAAGTTTTTTATCTAACTTATAAGTTGTTGTAGAGATTTTATGAAAAACTATATAAGTAAGCACTTGGCACAATTCCTGACACGTGGTAATTGCTCAACATATGTTCTCTTTATTCTCTTTCTCCATATTTTATATAAACATTACAGTTGAACTATTTTAAACTAGTTAGTTATGACAGAACTTACTTTTCATTTTGGAAAGGTCTTAACTATTATGCTTAGAAAGTTTTATAAAACTTTCCAGCCTTCCAAATCTGTCATAGGAGCAGAAATTTTTGTGAAAAATACTGTGATCATGAGTTATTCATACATCTTTTTTGTGATGCAGTAAGAGATTTGAAGTCTCCATGCGTATCTGGAAAGGCGATTCAAAATGAAAGGCCTGGTTCTGTAATGCAGCACTAGGGCTTCTTAGAAGCTTTTTCCAGCATCCAAGCTTTAAAAATGAACCATAATTTGCAACAGTAAAGCCAAGTTAAGGAAAACTTAACATCTTTGAAACACAAAAAAAAAGAATAAATGAGTGGTTTCCTAGGTTAAAATGAAGGAAGAGGGGAAAAAATTCATGCTAGCCGACAGGGCAGGAGAGTGATGACCATGTCCATATGGGAAGAAGCAAAAAATACCTGTCGGAACCCAGGTCTGCCAAAGGATGAGAGGGATCTTTTAGTTGAAAATGAGAGCTGTTGTCTTCTACCCTACCCACAAATGTGTTATCTCCCAGACCGATTATAATTCACATCTCATACTAAGTATAGCTATGAGCATATCATTGGCTAATAAATATATTAATCACCAGGCATTAATTTTGAAAACAATGGATTGTTAGAGAAATGCCAGAAAGTATAGGAAAGAGAGCAAAATCCATGCTGAGTTTTAGAACTCAAAGACTACACATATGTAAAAGGCTGCAGCCCATAAGATAAATGAGAAATCTCCAGGTTCTAAAGGATTATGAGGTTTTTAAACTCTTTTAGGGTTGATCTAGAGTTAGCAATGCATATCAGAATTACCTGAAGGGCTTGTTCCAGCCCAGAGCACTGGGCCCCACTCCCAGAGTTTCTGATTCAGTAGGTCTGGTGTAGGATTCTAAGAGTTTGCAGTTTTAAATAGTCCCAGATGAGGCGGATGCTGCTGGTTTGTGACCATACTTGGAAGACTACGGGTCTAGAGATTTGTCATTAGTATCATTTAATTATGCAACTGATTACTACTAGTATTTTTGTTATATTTTTATTGTTAAATCTATAATAGTATAAATATTTTGAGAGGCATTAGTTTCATCAAGTTGTCATACAGTTAAATCACAACATGAAGTTTTGAAAGTCACAGCTGATTACATTGTTAGCTGGTTATGAATTATTTACATGTATAAACATGTTAATATTCTTCCAGTTTAATGTAATGAAACCTTAAGATTATTAGTACTTTTGACATCAAATGTACTGACTTGTTGACCGTGTCTGAACAAGAAATTAGGGTATCGGACACAATCCTATTTTGGATAAGAGAGGATGTTTGATAGCACATGAATAATTTTATGCTGAAGGCAGTTTATGGCCAAAGTAGAATGATATGTTTGTCTGGATTGTCTCAAAAGTCTGATAGGCTATCACTGAGAACCATAATGATGACCATGACAATGGTATCATCCATTACTCTATTAAGTAAAAGACTTACTTAATAAAGATACAGAGCAACTGGAACTCAGAAGACAGCAACCACAGTGATCTACCTCTCTGATGGAACAGGCTAGCCCAATGATGGGAAGAATTGGATAGAGAAAGGGCAGAGGATAGTCTACAAATCTGTCTTCAAAAATTTGGAAGACAAAAAAAAAGCATGAGTATTAGAACTGGGACAAGCCAATTTCTCATCTTCCCCAAAAAGCAGTCTAAAGATTGAATGAACATTTGAGAAGGGAAAGAGAATTTCTTGTTAATAAGACTATGCAGATATAGATTGTCAACCACCATAGGAATGTTTTTAAAGGAAATCAGAGACTTCACGTTTCATGTAGGGACTTAGCTAATTTCAAGATTCCTTCTAACCCTGAGATTCTCATAATTCTTTGAGGTAGACCAAATATTTAGAAAATAAAACAAATTCGATGCATAGATATTTAGACATGCATATGCTCAGAAATGTGAGTTGACTGATCCATTTGGAATGGAAGTTGGTAAAGATCTTTGACAAAAGATGTTTTAAAGCCTCTGCTAAAGCCTTGAGCCGTATATCAGATTCCTAGATGGAGGCAACAACTACTCTGAAGTTAAGCAGAAAAGACAATTTTTTGAAAAGAGGTTGTGTAGTTCTTATCACTGAAAAGGCTGAAGAATTATGCTCGGAAAACAAGCACAGAGGAAGATCGCACAAAGGAGCCCAGCCTCGATCAGGGCACTAAAGCGACATGGTGGAGATCCCAGCCGCTGACCCACGCTGGGCACCAGTGCTGCCCCGACAACTTGATTCTGCGGCTACTGCGGCCCTTGCCCTTCCAGAGAATAGGTTCTTCATGGTTTGTGCTGCCTTGTGACACTGGCACCAGTTCAAAGTCCAAGTCTGAGCGCCAGATTGGCAGAGTTATGAAGGGTCACACTCAAGCCGTAAGGCAGCTGGGAACACAAGAATCTGGTGTCGGTTCCTCTGGTGGGAAGAGGATTCTCCTTCCTTTCGGGAGTCCCACCAGGATGAGTTAGGGCGTTCTCTAGATATCAAAGCTGTTGGGCCGTTCCCCAGATTATACACATTCAATCAGGGACACTGCAGGGTTCCTTCCACAAGATAGTAATAGGTGTTAATCACAAAAGCATTAAGCATTCCTTTTTATCATTTTATCACTTCTTTTTCTATTTTGATAGCAGGATTCTTCAGAGCCTTAAAATATGAGTGTGTATTATGCTTCTTCAATAAGGGGGGGGGTACGCAACATTTGCCAAACTTATTTGAGCAAGACACTGTTTTTCATAGTAACTCTTGGGAGGAGTATGGAACACATCCTGTGAACACTGGATGCAGGAAATACAAAAAGACGTCATGCACAGAGGCCTGCAACACGCACGCCCAGGTGCAATAAGAAGTGAGAGCACTTAGCAAGGTGGTCGGAATGGAGATTGCATTGAGGTCTGCAAGTCAAGTCCATGTTTGATTCATTGGGTAGTGGCTGTGGTAAGACATGATCTTGAAAATTCTAGTTAGCTTGAACTGCTGGTAGCTTCAAATGAGGCTCTGGTTGTGCATACACACGACTTGGGAGAGAATCGTCAAGAAACAAAACCCCATGAAAAGGTCTAGTCAGCTGTGATTTGCAGTTAGGAATACAGATCTAAAACAGAGACAAAGACTCGTGTCTGAAAGGAGTACCGCGGGCCAGAGGTCCACAAACTGCAACCTGGGAGCAAAACCTACCCACAGCCTGGGCTAAGAACGTTTGGGGTTTTTTTAAATATTGTGTTTATTGAGAAACAATATTGTGTTTTTAGAGAAAGAGGGAGAGAAATACCAATGTGTGGTTGCCTCTCACACACCCCCAACTGGGGACCTGACCCACGCAACCCAGGCATGTGCCCTGACCGGGAATCGAACCAGTGACCCTTTGGTTTGCAGGCCAGCTCTCAATCCTCTGAGCCACACTGGCAAGGGCTAAGAATGGCTTTTAAATTTTTTAAATGGTTGGGGGTAAAAAAGTCAAAAGAATAATTTCAATATTTGTCACATAAAAATTATATGAAATTCAAATTTCATTCTGTGAATAAATTGTTTTCATTAGTGGGCTTATATTATTAAAAATGATGTTCAATTGTTATGTTTTGAATTTTCATCACTTAAATATGTATGAAAATTTTTTTCTCTCTTTTTATGTAAGCACCTACATAATTTTCAGATTTGCTGAATAGGCCCATGAAACCTAAAATATTTACTATCCAGCCTCTGGACTAGTGTTCTAGTCCACTGCCCTCCTTTTACTGAAACTGAAGCTGAGACTCATCGTAGAGTAATTTGAACTGAGATCTGAAGATTCCTAGTGATGAATCTGGGACGGAACCCAAGTGTTTCAGCTCCTACTTAGAGCTCTTTCTAGTTCGTGTTAGCTGCCTCAGTCCAAATGGTGTTACGGGGTGAGAGGGGTGTGCGTTAGATGGGAGAGGAGGGGGCATCCATCTCGGTCCCGGGGCCAAAGTGTGATTGGATTTTGATCACGGGACGTGGTGCAGCCCAGGGAAGGGGAGGGGAGGGGATTTAACAGCTTCGCTCAAATCTTAAAAACCAGTCCAGTTTACAGCTAGGTCTTCTGACTTGAATGCATTTCTTTTATTAACTTAGACTTCTAGCCAGAAGGTGGATAATGCGGAAGTTCCTCATTACCTCACACATTAATGTGGTATAATGCAGATTATTTCTGTGGCAGGGCCGTTGTTTCTGACATCAGGGCTCAGAAATGGAAATATTCCACTTGGCTTCTTGAAATGATTGGATTTTATGTATTTGGTTGGCATGTCCTGAGTGAGACAGCATGTGTCAATGGCCAGAAAACAAAGGGAATCTCACACTGAGAAGGACTGCGAAGTAAGGTCCCAGCCTCTGGGGAGCAGTGGATCATTTCCTCGTCAGTGCTGGCTGTAGGTATAGGAAGAGAGTCGCCCTCTTTGGGTGTTTTGGGAGCATCAGTACATTTTGTCAAAGACGTTTGGTTGCCAGAGAACTCGAGAGTACGGAGTGAGTGGTGTTGTAACCATTAGTTTTTGTTGTTGTTTATTTTATAGTTTATAGTATATTCAGTCTGTAGAACCATTCTGTTTACGAACTTTATCATCTACCTGTTTAAGTTTATAAATATTTCTTTTGATTTTTTAAAAGAAATCAGTGATCTACCAGGTAGTTCTTTTCTTTCTGGCTCATGTATTATAAAGTCTAAGAAAGAATTTGCTAAATGAGTTCAGCATTAATAAATACTATACAAACATTTTAAAATAAAATTTATTGGCCCAGACAAAAAGTGTGTGGCGTTCTTGTAAGCTTTGGGGCAAACCGTTTTTAAAGGCGTAAGTACATTTTTCAGGATAAAATTGCTGAGTATCAAGATTGTCTTGAGTCTGTAACACAGCTTCCCAGGCTGCTTTAGCAAAACTGAATTCAAGCAGGTGAGGTAAGGTCTTTGTGCTTTAGGAAGGTGTGCCGATGCTGAGAAAAAGCCCCTGACGTGGACACCTGGCACTCAGTGGTTCTGCCGACCACAGCCCTTGACTCACTCTGACAGCAGCAGCAGAGACATGTTGACAGTGGGGCCCCAGAGGCCCAGTCGCATTGCCCTGTGACATCCCCTTCCGGTGCTGGGGGCTGAGAAGTCACTGAATCACAAAGTCAGGGATTTGAAAGAAGATCAGTGAGATGGTGGTGGTGCTGGGAGCCGGACAGAAGGAGAGTGAGGGCAGTGGCCTCGGGTGTGAGTCACCCACTAGGCAATCAGTGGGAGTTAGCAGAGTCTGGAAGCAGACGGAGGAAGGGAGATGTGGGGTACCCTGATGCACCTCTGGTTAGGGCTCTCTTCTTCATAACACCCATTACAGACTAATTGTGTAATTGTTTAATATTTTTCTTTCCCATTAGACCAGTGCTTCTCAAATGGGGGCAGCTTTGCCCCCCAGGAGACAATTGCCTGCAGGCGTTTTTGGTTGGCACCAGCATCTAGTAGGTGGAGGCCAGGGATGCTGCTAAACATCCTACGGTGCACAGGGCGCCCACCACACAAAAAACTACCAGTCCAGATCAGCAGAGCCAAGGCTGAGAAACCCTGCATTAGACTGTGGTTCTTAAGGACCCATTTGCCTTGCTCAGCACTTTATGCCTAACGCTTAAGCAGAAAATGGGGCTCTCAGCACACATTTACAAATGCAGATAAGCCAAGCTTCCTCCCTTTTCAGCCAGTTTGCCTAAGTCATTGCCTGGGCACCGGCAGGCACTATCAACCCTGAGCACATTGCACAGGACTGTTTCCTCTCCGTATATGTCACCGACCCTGCTTCCCGGTTGCCAGTGTCTCTGACCAGAGGGGTTGCATTTCTTCAGTCTCCTCTCTCTGCTATGAAACCTACATATGTATGTTTGTTGCATTTGCATTCTTGAGAAGGGAATAAAATAAGAGTAGATGTTTTCTCGTTGCTTATACCTAGTATTTTGATGTGCAGTGATGAGCTATATTGAATGCTGATCTTAGCAATGGTGATCATTAGATTATTATCAAAGCTATCCAGTACTGAGTGTATGTGTGGGTGATGGGGGATTCCAACGTGATGAGCATTTTTTAATGCAATAGGGCCATTCTTTAGTTTTTACAGAGAATGTTTATCCTTTTGGAGACCGTTCTGACAGCCCTAGAAGTCCCAGCAGAAAGCAAGTCTCCGAGGGGCTGCCCCAGCCCATCAGAAGAGCAGACCGAGCTCCCCTGGAGTGCTCTTTCATCCCTGTTTCGAACACGGCCACTTTCCGAACCAAGAGCCACACTGCCTCCTCATAAGAAAGATGCCCTGTCCCCACCTGTATAAATACGTGGCATATTATGGGGTGAGGTGTGTGCTATCCAGCTCTGCCCAGCCCAAACTCTCCTCTCGGTGGCGTGCTGAGTTGAGGGCATTGAGCATGCTCAACTCTCCTCTGGACGTCTTTCCATAATAAACCCTACTGCATAAACACGCAGTGGCTCCCATAGAAATTCACATGCAACCTGCCCACCAGATGGGGGAGCAGTTCCGCGGAGTGGCTCTAGGAGTTGATCGAATTGCAGCCCATTTATCAAATTTAAAATTATTTCTCTGTTATATGATTTAATTGAACCATCTAGAAAGCAGGAAGAAGGGTAAATAAGTCCTCACGAGTGTGTATGTAGAAGGCATTGAGATGCACATGTGTACATTATCAGATCTTGTCTTTGCTTCTGCCAACTTTTTTTAAAACAGAATGACATTTTCAGTCTCTACTGTGAAACCCTAAGAAAACAGCCTCATATCTGATCTCAGCATCCTGTTCAGGCTGCTGTTCATTACATAAGACAGTAAACTCTTTACGAGGACTCTTGGGAGCAATTTATTTCTGATCCACGGCTCAAGAATAATTATGATTCTCCTGAGTTACTGGTTTGTTTTTTATCTTAGGGAAAATGAGTATGTAACTGATTAGCTTTTCTTTGAGAATTGCTTATGAGAGTGTTTAGAGCCAAATTTGTTGCCCACCTATATATCACAACGATTTAGAACTTTATGGTAGTGTCGATTCTGACTTCATGATGGATGTGCGTACTTTTCCTTTGTATTTGCATCTACTTCAAATTTATCATCATTGTTCCATGTCAACTTCAAGGACTGTTTTGGGAGAAAGGGAGAGGTAGGCATAATAAGTAAATGTATTGTATAATAGGCCATCAAAACTAGTTTTACTGGCTCCTTTTTTCCTCCCCACTTTCTAGATTGAGATGCTGCCAGATGGGCTGTTTCAGTGCAAAAAGCTGCAGTGTTTACTTTTGGGGAAAAATAGCCTGGTGAGCTTGTCCCCTCACGTGGGTGAGCTGCCGAACCTTACTCACCTGGAGCTCGTCGGTAACTACCTGGAAACTCTCCCTCCTGAACTGGAAGCCTGTCAGTCCCTAAAGCGGAGCTGCCTGATTGTCGAGGAGAATTTGCTCAACACTCTTCCTCTGCCCGTGGCTGAGCGGTTGCAGTCGTGCTTGGATAAATGCTGACCTAAAATGTCCTAACTTATAAAGATTAAAAAATGGGGGATAATTATGACTCACTATAACCAAATGTGTTATTAAAGCAACTCGGTGTCAGGCCCTAAATCAAGCAGGTAAAAAACGTTAACACGGAACTAACTGAGTTTTGTGAACAAATTGATCTTTCTTTTACTTACTGACTTGTAAGAAGTACACTTCGAGAGTGGAATGGGGAACATGAAGTTATTGAACCTCTACTTTGCAGTTATTACCTTGAAGATTATTCTGTCTTCTCCCTCCCCAGTCCCCATTACTTATTTGCACACTTGTTGTAACTGACTTCGTTTGGATGTTTATCACCTAGATCATAAACTCATATAAATTTTCTTGATGTACACTCAGCGCTGTCTTCGATTTATGTTCTTAGTTATTTTTAGGCAGGGTGCCTTGTGCTTGGCCGAGTCCCGTCTTGGCTTCTTACTTCCTGTCCCAGCTCGCTCCAGTCCTCCTGCATCTGGTTCTCTCTGAACAGCGATGAGCCCTGGGAAAGTGCCTGCTGTTGGCCTTTGCGTAGGAGAAGAGCAGGGTACGTAGGGTTTGTCGCCCTTGGGACATCCCGAAGATTCATGTAGTCTCTGAAATTTCTTCTCATGAAACATCAAATCCTTTTTTATTTGCTAGTATGTTTTTATATTAAATGTAAAACAAGTATTTTTATTGTTCACTCATGGATCCCAAACCTGCAGGAATAGTTTTTGTACGGTACGAAGAACACATGCATTGCTCTAAGGATTTACTATGAATACTCTTGTGTTGGCTGCTTATGATTCTCATACTTGTGTGCATTCTCCACAGTGTTCTTTGTGCTCTGTGACTGGTTACTTTTGGATCACAAAAGCCTGTGTTTCAGGCCCTGACACATGGAGGGGTTTCCTTCTAAGAGGACGGCCACATCATCTGCCTCTCTCTTCCCCGTGGCTGTGCTGTTGTACGGGTGCAGTTCTTCACTACTTCAGAGACCGATGGAGAGGAGAGGTAGAGATTTCGATCTTTAACACTGACTTCAAAATACCTTGTAGAAATTGAGTTAAAGCAAAAACTTTACTTTCTTCTCCATCTGTGTGATCTATAGATACAATTATAAGAACCGCCTCTATTCAGAGTTTAAGATGAGTTCTTAAGATCACAAGGAAATAGATCTATTTAACTGGAATTTATCTCACGCCTTTGTTGAACTTTTCTGGAATACATTTTGCTCCTTTTCAAAAAAGAGCTTTTGTGTTTGGCCTTTTATCATGCATTGTTGTAAAGTGAAAATGAACTGACTCATTTTGGGGAAATGTACGTTTTTACTGTGTTTTTCTCTAATGGGTCTGGGCGTAATGATGCCGCCTGAGTCTGGGTGTAACTATGAGGCAATCTGTTAAGCGCCCGAGACAAAACTGGAAAACACTGTGGGTAAAAAGAACTGTGATGTACGCTGTTTTTCTTGCTTTGCCCATTCCAAAAAGATGAAAGTGAGTCTTTATAACACAGTGTAGCTTTGCTCACCTGTCACACACCCCTGGACTAAATCTCAGAGAAAAGAATTGTTCGCATCAAATGAAATTGGAATAATATGAGCTATAAAAAAAATAAGACACCAAAGGCTACCTAAACCTTATTGTTTATTCTAAATGAGAAGAAATGGTGTAAAAATGTAATTCTTACCAAAACTTGCCTTTAGTCAAAACATTCAAGTTCTCAGGGACCCAGGCATAACTGATGAAACTTTCTTTTAGGACTTCGGAAAACTGTATCTGAGGGCAGGGGGTGGGGGTTGCTATGTGAGTTGGTGGTCATTGGAATGTTTCACGATAGATGTGTATTCCTTCCATTGTTAGGTAGGATTATCTTAAGTTTTGGACGTGACCGTGATACATGGAGAGGTATTTAAATGTTCTTGGAACTTAAATGCTTTTGGACAAATAATTAGCCATTAATGCACCTGAAAAACTTCACCCCATTTTTTCTGAACGAGCGTTCAAAACAAATTTTACATTGTTACCATGACAATCTAGAAGTTCACCATGGCTAGTCGTTGGTTTTGTTCACATGCAGAAGTCATTGGCTAAACCTTCCTTATCACCTCTCTGAATTTCTGGACACAGGCTGCTATCAGGATCAATAATGAGTATTATAAGTGTGTCTCCAAACACAAGGGTATATATAGTAACCAGTGCAAGTTCTGTTCTTGATGCCAAAGTTTTTAGATTTCTTTTTTATGTCATGACGTCTGACACACCAGTCTTTAGGTAGCTTTGGAAGTGACAGGGCACTGATGGGATGAACTCTGAGGCCACCACTTGACACTCAGCATGAGTTTGATGCCACCTTTACCACATTGTTGGGGCAGGAGCAGATCATATCATAAGTGTTCATATTCTTTTAAGAGGATTTTAAATGAAGAAAAATGAAGTTTGTTCACTTGTGAAAGTTAGTTGGTATTTGATTTCCAATGATGGCAGTGCATTTTCCAAAACAAAATAGATGTGGGTGTTACTCAGAACAAAGCCGATGGCCTGTGCTAGCAGTGGGGTGGGTTCATTTACACGCACACAGGCAGATGCACACACACACCCCATGCATGCAAAACATAGCTTATTAGTTTCGGATGGGTTCGTGTTTCTCCCAGGGTTGCAAGAGGTTAATGATAAGATACTCCTTTTTATTCGTTACTTGTAACTATGGAGCGTTCTATTCCCTTGGTTATATTTAAAAGAAAACTGAACACTCAGCCTGAGTCTGAGAACCTAGGCGGTCTGGAGCATTTCCGGTAAGTAGTGTTCTTTCCCCAGCCTCCATCGGGGTACGTTCTCTGTGGTACGTAGACACTGTGTTTTCATTCTTCATCCTGTCTTGTTTTTTTCCCTTCAGACTTCAGCATATTTCATGGTCACTTAACAAACGTTTGTGTGAAACAGGGTGAATAGAGACCCTCGGAATCCAGCTCCATGGCACACGTGGTTCAGGCGTGTGCTGAGCGGGGCTGCAGCCTGTTATCTGCACAACGTTGTTTGATAGTGGAAATATTTGTATTTGTTCTTAAAGTGTTTCATGATTCAAATTTTGTATGTTTAATTAAAACACTGCATAATATCCATGGGTTCAGAAACTATTAAAATAATCAAACAGTTATTCTGTGGATTTATAGCTTTATTTCCTTGTAGTTTTAATAAAATGCCCTTTCCATCTTTGTTCTCTTACCATTGTCCTATCCGCATAAGGCATTTGGTCATCTCTCTCCACTCACCCACCTCCTTTAAATTTGATCAGCACTTGTGCAGTAACAGAATATACTTGTGCTAGAGAACTTGCAGTGATACTTGAGCATGTGTTTCCTTGGGGGGAGGCCAGAGCCTAGAATTATGCCTAATTGAGTAGTTCCACTTTACCCGTCCCTGAGTAGTTAGAGCTGGTCCAGCATCCCCCATCCCTCCCCAAAGCACAAGAATATAACTGTAAGTCCGTTTTCAGGAACTGCATATTGCATAAGAAAGTGGCTGGGTTTTTTTTTGTTTTTTGTTTTTCCTGGAAACAAGAGGAAGGCTGGTGGGAGAGGGCAAGAGTTATATTGTATCCTGGTTTGAATTATGAAAACATTGTATACACAAAACTGTTGCAAAATACCCTGAGCATGATTATTTCCCATTCCAGCCGGATGTGAAAGCCGAAGCAGTGGAAAAACTGTAGTCCTATGTAACTGCTTTCTTCCTGTTGCTGGTCCATTGCTTCCGTATCCTCTGGGAACTACCTACTAAGTACTTTAGGAAATGGACTGCATTCTCTCAAACATATTTTTACGCAATTTCATCAACACTAAAACATTAACATAGAAAATACAAGCTGAAGTACTGAGTTGAGATGGCTTCCAGTTGAATTTAATTCATATTTAAGTTTTGCATTTGACTTGTGTAATAATACAGTACTGCTGAGAAAAACAATTATGAATGCCTCCTGCATGTTATATATTATCTCTAACAGAGATGGTGCAATTTAAAAATCACAAAGGGGCATAGAATTAGAATGGATGTGTCTGTGCATATGTGTTGTGTATGATACTAAATATTTATGTTTAAATATTTTTAAATCTTCAAATGTTTCACTCTCTGTGAAATAATGGGCCAATCTTAAGTAGAAACACTTTCCTGTTAGCTTATTTTATCTATGTCACATATTTTGAAATCTACATAATCAGCTTTTGCTTTTGGCAACAAAATTAGCAAATGTAATACTTTGTGATGAGTTGAATGTTTTTGGCCCTCAGGTTTACCATGTAAATCTGCATTTTAGTGGTAAATCCCTTTGCCTGAGATTCATTAGTTTTGGTAAACTTTACTGTTTTTAAAGTACGTTTTGTGTAAAATAAAGATTCGATTTTTATAATAAATGGCAAATAAAAAACAGATTAAATGTTGGAAGACGTTGGCTGTACTGTTTTGTCCCTGTGCACACCAAAAGTGACGTGACGCCCTCTCTCCCACACTTCCCTGTGCAGCTAGCTTGTCACCTTACTCACCAAATGATAGATTTCAGTTTTACACGTGAATCTCATGTGACAGTAACATGAGTTTTCAAAATAAGCTACAATAATCCCAGAGTAGAAAGCCCTCAACAGAGCTGGACTGATCCTGGCCTACACTGAGGGGCAAGGACAGGGGAACCTGTGACTCTCCTGATCAGTTCATCTTCGGAGTCTGATGATCACAAACCAGCTCCTCTCTCTGCCTCTCTTCTTGCCTCCAGGTAAATAGAAAGTACTGTACTGCAAGGTGAAAAATTGACTTAGTAACACAAACACGTAAATAATTTGTTACCAAATAGAACCTGTGGGGAGAGAGCCAAGATACTGTTACCAAAACAAGCCCCCTCTCCGGCATCTTTCTGTACTAGGTTCGTCCGGCCCACTGCCAGGTAGACACTGTGGCTCTCAATGCCAGAGTTTGGTAAAGAGGAACTATTTATTCAGAAGTTATACAGGTTTAGAGTAATGGCAGAACGTCACCGTTAAATCTCAAAGTCCCTTTAAAACACCCACAAACACACACACACACAGTCCTGCCTTCCCCTTGCTAAACTAGGCTGGGCAGGGGTACCATATCTCAGAAAAAGAAGTAGAAGTCCGTAGTCCAGCTAGACTCCAGGTTCCTCCCAATAATCTGTGCTCAGCTGGGCAAGTCTCCCGAGGTCCCCAGCATCATGGGCTGGACCGCCTCGATCTCCAGTTCTTAGTCCAACATCACGTGGCACCTCCTGACGGCCCACCAGCAAGAGTCCTTTCACCCCTTTCCTTACTGTATGGTCTCGAGTTGTCCTTCCCATCTAGTCCTGCATTGTCTCCCCTTCGTGGTGGCACCCGCCTTTAGTTTAAGTCCCAGCCTGTAACCTCCGCCACCCCATTTCTACTCCTCCCACAATTGGCCGCACCTGCCAGCATGGCCCCACAGCTCGGAGGGGACCACCTCCAAGCTCTGCTGCAGGTGCTGTAACCAGGCAGCTGCCTCCCAGTTACACCAGGGGTCAAAGTCACGCCCATCTCCCTTGGTAGCCTGCTGTTGATATGCAAAATAACCATTTTTCGTATGGGTCTGAAGCTAGGCTGCTATTATTAATATACAAAATAACTCAATGGCCCTGCTCCTGTCTCCCATTGCCCAGCCAGAATTGTGTGTAGGGGGGAATATCCTATATGACACCCCAAGTTCTGGACCCCATTACAAATCCCTCCCTCCTTTGGGGGGTTCTGGGGTCTCCCAACCTACACCCCATTACAATTTGACGTTTTGCATAGATCCCTCCCCTTTCATCTCATACACACACATAGTTTCAGGAACACATTAGAAAGCTGATACTCAGATCTTTTCTCTGCTAGAAGACAGAGCTTGATATATACTGATCCAGATTATGAAGGAAGTTAACTGCTGAAGCCAGACGTCGTATGTTTCCCTGGAAATGCAGTAAATCGAGAATGTGTCCTCCACCTTTTAGTGCCTTAGAATGGGAAATAAACTGAGGAAGTAGAGTCTGTGCCTGACTCCACTGGCGGCCATTCACGAATGCTAGGCATTTGGGGACGCCGAGACCCCGTGCTAATAGGGGACAGGGCGGTGGTGCTCCCGCGAGCACAACAGTAATGGCTCATCGCAAACGCAGTGGAGGGCCTGCCAGTGGGAGAGGGAGGCTTTGTGTGTGTGGGGGTGGGGGGGCACGGTCTGGTTCTCTGGAGCCCCGGCCGTTGCGCAGTTTCTGCCACTTCCTCCCTGGATTCTCTGAAACCTCAGCTTGTGGACTCTGCCCCTCTTATCTGTCAGTCTGGAGCGAAGCAGTTCACCCGAAGGTGCAGAGCTAGACCTTGAATTCAAACCCCGTATTTACAGAACAGTGTATATGTATATACCAAAAACGGATCAGAAAAAATGTCATTTTCATCGTGCATAGTCTTTAAAAACACAAATCTCTTCACCTCTTGTTATCTCATCATCCTCTAGACTAGAGCTATAAGTCCTGCCACCTAAATACCGACAAGCTGTAGAACTGTGTTACCAAGAAGCTTTGCAAATTATTTCTTACAATCAACACCTGAAGTTTGCTCACCTTTTTACACAGGCCTGTTTGTTGGTGTGGAGCTCAACACGCCATCTTTTACTCTCTACCTCCCTCTGCTGCTGAGTGGAGAACACACCAAGTAGAAGCCCGCCAGCTTCTGTTTTCTCCGCTTCATGCAGTTTTGCCTTGCCTTGCCTTTGTCCAGTGCAGCCCCTTAGGGAAGGTTTTGAGAATTCAGTGGCCCTCAATCCCAGTCACCTGATCTCAGATGAGATGCACTTAGAAAGCCCCCCGTAGAGCAGGACCAGGACCAGACCAGAGGGGGAAGGAAGTACTTAGCCCCCTTAAAAATGATTCTTTGAATATTTGTTTAATATGCATTTCATAGAGGTTGGGGAACCGGTTTTCTACTACTAAAGATCATGAATTTTCTATCAGCTGTCTGATTATCCCTTTCTCCAAAAACAAAACTGTCACAAGCGTGAGGTAGAGCTTAGACGCGATTGAGCAGAGACCCGAGTGGGGGCTGGAGGGCGAACGGCTTCTCACGGCCCATAGCACTCCTGTCAAACAGCGCGACAGGCAAGTCTTCCCCCCCGGCGTTCTGAGCAGGCCTGGTGGCTCCTGGGAGCCCCCTCGGTTCCCCCCAGAGCACCCCACTCTCCCGGCCCCAGATCTCCCTCCCTGCTCACTCCAACCTCTTCCCCTCTCCCTCCCTCTCTGCTGTTTATTGCTGCCCTAACCACACACTCCAAGCTTACACATCCTCTCCCATTACTAAATCCCATCTTAGAGTATTAAATACCTATCATTCCAAAGGTAATGTTTTAGTTTTCCTTACCAAAGTAAATGCCTTTCAGTTACCAAGAGTCCTCCTTCCTGCAAGGTGGTTTCTTGTCCCAATTTCAAATACAAGACTTACTCAGTGTGCTGACTGGGAGCTGGACCAGTTTGCATTCCTTAGGCTGGTCACCTAAGAAACTGCGTATGGAAACCTGAGTTATAAGGCCCCCCTTTTTCAATTATTCCAGTGATATTTGGTGTTGCTTGTAAATCAGCACCCTGGCAAATGTTTAAGCACTGGGTCCTAGATGCCTCCTGTGTGAAGGGAGTTTCCGGTCTAGGCTTCCCCTGAACTAGGTTTGGATTTGCATCCTTGTCTATTGTGTCTATGGTAACTTCATAGAGAAGCTCCTCAGATCATTATGGGCAGAAAAGAGCAGTTCTGTCAACATTTTCATAAGACTGAGCCAGTCTCAGGCAGTTGCTCTGTGGGAAGGGAAAGGCTGAAGAACCAACCAAGGGAAAAAGAATTAATCGTCTCCATGAAGAGGCCTGAGGAAAGTTTGCTGGACTCGTGTTACCCAGGCAGAAACTCACCAACAGCTTCAAACTGAGAAAAGATGAAAAATCTAATCATTCCTGGTCCCTGCCCCTTTAGCTGGAGTCTGTCACCCTGGGGCACAGGTGGCAGGCACAGGCCCGTGGTCTGAATCCAGCCCTCCACCTTGTTTTATCTGGCTCAGCACCTTGTTTCTACCCTGCGGCAGCACCGAGCTCTTGCTTAACTGTTAAGGAGCAGTTACATTTAC